AACCAAAGCAGCCTGGTCGGGCTGGGGTTTTGTCCTGCTGTAATCCATTAATTGCTGCAGCCTGAAAGAACAAAGGCAGAGATAATGGTCTCGGGAGTTAGGAACCGAAATCAAACCTGGGCTGAATCAGCAGAAGAGGCCCTTTGATTTCCGAAGAAAAACTTCTCATCTGTGCCACGGGAGGAATTGCTCTTCTCAGGCCACATCCCCCGAGCTGCTGAGCCCGGCCCACGGCAGCCCGCGGCCGTGGAGGGCTGGACCTGCGGGGATGAAGCCCTCAGAGTCTCGGGGATGGATTTTGGATTCTCCAACCCCTCTCCATCCCTTAATTAACAACAGAGGCACCGGGGTTTTTGCGGTGCCCCGGCCGGGCTGGGCTGGCTCCTCCCGCGGGCTCCGGTGCCCTCTAGTGTCGCGGGTGGCGGTGGGCACCGCCGGAGACCCCCGCACCGACAGCGGCTCCGCATCCCCGTCGGGGGGCGGCGGGTCCCGGGGAGCCGGGGAGGGGCCCGGGGCAGAGCGCGGTGTAAAGGGGCCGGTGAAGGGCCACCGGGAGGAACATCCCCCTTCCCCTCGTCTTCTATATATATATTATTTATATATTATATCATATATATATATATGAGGAGAGGCTGAGGGAGCTGGGGTTATTCAGCCTGGAGAAGAGGAGGCTGAGGGGAGACCTTCTTGCTCTCTACAACTCCCTGAAAGGAGGGTGTAGAGAGATGGGGGTCGGTCTCTTCTCTCAAGTCACAGGCGACAGGACAAGAGGAAATGGCCTCAAGTTGCGCCAGGGGAGGTTCAGGCTGGATATTAGGAAAAATTTTTTCACTGAAAGGGGTATCAGACATTGGAATGGGCTGCCCAGGGAGGTGGTTGAGGCATCATCCCTGGAGGTGTTCAAAAGACGGGTTGATGTAGTGCTGGGAGGTATGGTTTAGTGATGATGCTCCTTGTTTGTTGTGTGGGTGTCTATTTTTGTCAGTTAGGTTGACGGTTGGACGAGATGATCTTTAAAGGTCCCTTCCAACCTAGAAGATTCTGTGATTCTGGGCCACCTTATTGCACCCCTAAACTGGGTCTGGGCTGCTGCTGGACCAGAGAGAGTTTATTCTCAGTCAAAATGTCACGGCGGGAGCAGAAGGAAAAACAAAAGCCTGGGGTTTTTTTGCTTTGGTTTTTTTTTGTTTGGTTTTTTTTTTGTTTTTTTTTTTTTTTTTTTTTTTTTTTTTAGAAGAATAAAACTTCCCCGGCTGTTTTGGCCTCCTTTAACGCCAAGAGCCAAACGCAACATTGAAAGCAAAACAGCTCGACGTGGCGGCAGCAGCGGCCTCAGTGGGAAAAGGACGGGGACGGGGGAACTACCTTCGCCAGGAATGCGGGGAATCAAAATAAAGGTTGGGGAGGGCAGGCTGGGCAACCTTCCTTGCTTTTGTCTGGCTCCCTGCTCTCCCGGTGACACGGGATCCCGGCTAGTCAGAGCCAAATCCTGTTGAGCAAACAAAATGAGGGAATCTGGTGTTGTGAAAAGAGGGAGAGACAAAAAAAAACCCCGAACCTGGTAGGGCTGTAAACGCAGACAGGGCTGTCCTGCGGGCAGTGAACATCTCCCGGTGGTTCTGGGGGGAGTGATGGTCCCCTGACTCTCTTCCCTTCTGTCTCAGGAAGCCCTCACTGTTGTGTTCTCCTCCCTCCGCCACAGATTCAAGCACAGATTTATAGAGACCAGCGATGAGAGACAGCTCTGCTTCCTCCCCCTCTCAGGGGTTTGAGGGGTCTCTGCTCCAGGCTGGAGCTGCTCTTCACCACACAGGGGGTCCTGCTCCAAAAGGGTGAGCAGGGTGCGGCTGACCCCCGCACCCTGCAACGTGGAGAACCATAATCAAACCCAGACCTGCCTTCCCAAAGAGACAAAAGACTGGGGGGACCGAGCTGGGGGGGGACGGGACGACCCTTTCTCACCCACCCCCGCCTGGCAGGAGGCCACTCGGACCCTCCATGGGTCCGAGGACCAACCTATTAGGCTGCCTAATAGCCCCAGCCAGCTCAAGGCTGCCCGGCTCACCCTTGGAAGAGAGCCGCAGGAAAGGGCTCATTACTCGCAGCAAATTGGGACTCCTCCCGGGTGGGGGGAGGCTGAGCGGGGCGGCTCGCAGGGTCCCAGCCCCACTGGAAGCCTCCGAGAGCGGAGGGAGCCGCCCCCGAAGAGCCCTCCCCGTCGGTGCCCGCTGCCCGGACCCACGGGCGCTGCGGGCCTGGGGGTGTCAGGGCCCGGGAAGGGACCCCCACCGGTGAGGGACCCCCACCCCATCCCGGAGCATAAACAAGGGAGAGCGTCTCTAGCCCGGGCGCCGCAGTTTTGTTTAAGATGTGCGGTTTCCATCTGTTGCCGCGTAAACACGGGGTAGCGGGATGCCTTATGCTCCAGCCCTTCGGGGGAGGGGAAGGCGAGAGGAGAGGGGGCCGCAGTGGTAAAAATCCCCCCACCCCCTGCCTGTCCTCTCGCTAACCCCAAATCCCCCGCGCCTCCCTAGACGGGACCCCCCTGCGCCAACACGGGGCGGGGGGTAGAGCCCTCCTGGAGGGTTTATTTTATCTACTCGGAACCAATCCACAGGCACGGCCGGCGCTCCGGGGTCGCCCCACTTAGCCTGGTTGGGGGGGAAGAGGGAAGCCACGTCGGGGAAAGCGTCACGCCTCCCCTGGGCGACGGGACGCCGCCGTCCCCGGTCCCCGCAGCGCCCGGGGGATTTACCAGTCTTTTTACCAGCTTTACCAGTCCCCCGGTTGGCAATTTTTATTTTTCGCTGGGTCTTGTGAGATCCCACGTGGAAGCCGTTAACGACCTCTCGATAATGATCATGACAAAGGCATTATTCAAATGAGGCAGGTAATTGCAACCAGAAGGCGCCTCCTCTCCTCTCCTTTTGCTCCTTTTTTTTTTCTTTTTTTTTTTTTTTTGCAAGAGTGACTCTCGCATTACATCCCATCCTGACGGTTACTTCGCCAGGAATCACCTCCACCGTTAAACCGGACACGGTAAATCCCGGCGGGGCCGGGGCGGGATCCCCTCGGAGCTCTCGGGCGGTCGTTTGCCGCCGGTCTGAACCCCCGCAACTTCGCGGGGCTTTAAATCTGCAGCTCCCGCCCAAGTCAGGCTAAGACTTTTCCTTCCCCAAATTAAGGGGTGCTGGAAGCGCTCGCCCCTCCTCTCCCAGGCAGATAGTTCCAGGGTGCAGTGTTTTTTTCGGTTGGTTTTTTTTTTTTCCTGGGTTATTTTGTTGTTGTTGTTGGGGGGTGTTGTTTGTTTGTCGCCGTTTTTTGGGTGGTTTTTTTTTTGTTTTTTTTTTTTTTTTGGGCCATGCTTTTGACTCACTGGGAGCCTGTTGTTTATTCACAAGCATTACGGTATCCTGTTAGCATTCCGACCAGGGGCTGCTCGCTAGATCTGACTCCGATGATTTCCTGGAGAAACATGTGGAAGCAATAGCGGGGTTGTGCGCTCACCCCAGCCGAGGAGGATGCACTAGCGGAGGGCGGGCAAAGGGGCCGGGACCCACCGTCGGGGACCCGGCGAGCCCGGCCGGGCCACCTCAACCTGAGCCCGCTTTGGGCGGCGGTCTCTTCTCCTTTCTGCCCATCGTTCCCTTCGGGGCATCTTCTCTCCAGAGGCTTAATTCTCCTTCGCTTAGGAAAGAGGAAAAAAAAAACCAAACACAAAACAAAACAAAAAAACCTAACCACTGGATTCTGGCTCTCGAGTTTGGGGGCAAACTTTTCTTTTGTTTAATACTAAAAGGAGAAGAAAAAAAAAAGAGGTGTGGGGATAAGGAGGGCTAAGCTGGGGAGGGAAGGAAGCGGGAGAAGACCTGGGGAGCAGCTCTCGGGCTGGTGCCCTCCCCGGGAGGTGGGTAGGCAGGAGAGAAGGCAGGGAGCAGGCAGGGCCTCCCGCTCCTCTCCTTTCCTGGGGCTGCAGTGCCCCCTCTCCCGCGGCCGCCGCATCGCCCCGTCCCGCACGGAGCCCGCAGCTCCCCGCCGCCTCCCCCGGCCACCCCCTTATCTCCCCCAGATAGCGACGGCCAAACAGAGCAAGAGATACCCCGGTGCTGGATCAAAGCTCCGGCTGGAGCGCGTTACAAACGGGAGGGAGCGGGCCGTGCGCTGCCCTCGCCTCCGCAGGCACCTCCGGCCCCCGCCGTGCCCCCCCCGGCTCGGTTATTACGGGGGTTTGTTTGCGCTGGGCAAAGCAGAGGCAGAGGGGGAGAGAAGAGCTTTGCCCGTCCCGTCGGAGCAGCGGGGTGCGGGGGGGCTGGCTCCTGCCGGGGGTTACCTTTCGTTGTGTCTTTCATTCATAAAAGTTAGGGGATCCGTCTCTCCCCCGGTGCCTCCCGCTCCCGGCCGGCCGTCCAGCTCTCAGCCCGAGCTCACCGGTGCCCAAAGGACACGAGGAACCCGCAAATTCGTTTTTTAATTTTTTTTTTCCAGCTCCAACTCCCCGGCCATAAACTGACACAGTGACCGCCCGACCCACCGGGTCTGAGGGTCTGAGGAGGGAAGGCTTAGGCGTGGGATTGGGAGTTTTCGTGAAAGTTTTTGGGTTTGGGTGGGTTTTTTTTTTTTTTTGCTGGTGTATTTTTATTTATTTATTTATTTTATTTTCTCCCCCTGCCGTGCAAAACTCCCCTCTTTCCCCCTTTCCTCCCCCTCGCCCCTGCCATATGGCTAACCTCCCCCCCCTCCCCTGCGAGGCTGGTGAAATCTGGAGGCAGCGACTGGCCCCCCTGCCTGCGTAAGAGCCTCTCCCGCCTCCGGCCGCGGGGTTGGGGGCGCCGGGAGAGCCAGGGAGGCTCTTATTCTGAAGGGGCCGGAGGGGGGGGGCTTCATTTCCTGACAGCTATTTACTTAAAGCAAATGATTAGTTTTGGAAGGATGGACTATAACATTGAATCAATTACGGGACGCGGTTTGTGAGACCATTACAGTCGGAGCGGGAGGGAGGGCGAGCGGGAGGGAAGGAGCGCGGCGGAGCGGGGAAAGTCACAAAAGACGTGGACATATTTTGGATATTTTACAATCTGCAGGATTGGGGCTGCGGAGTATAAAGGAGAAGGTAAGAGGTGAGGGGCAGTTTCCCCACCTTTTTCTTTTTTTCACCTTTTCTCCCGCTTCTCTTTTTTTTTTTTTTCCTCTTTTCTTTTTCCCCCACTTTATTTATTTGTTATCGGTTTGGTTGGGGTTTTTCTTTTATTTTCTTTTTTTTTTAAATTTTTTTTTCTCGCTTTTTTCCCCATGC